CTGCCTTCATGTGCTGAGTCACTAAACAGGTCAAAATGAACAGTATCCAAATATCTGAATATGATTAGGGTCAGGATATTCCTCAATTCCCACTGAATCTGACGCACAAAGAGTGAAAAACCAAATGGAAGAGAGATTGCAAATCACCTCTTCCTGCATGCCTCTGAATGCTCAGATTGAACTTCAAGATTTAGCAAGAAATGCACAATCCATCAGATGACCAGAAATCACCGCAGGGTCACAAGAAATATGAGAAAGCAAGAAAATACCTCTCTTCCAAGGGAAACAAATAACTCCTCTTCATCCTCAGACAGTACAATGGAATTCACGGAAATGTCAGATAAAGAATTTAGAATATTCATAGTGACAAAGCTAACAGAGATGGAAGAGAAGAGAGACAATGAACTGCAGAAGAGGCAGGAGAAAGGAGCCAACGAGTTCCAGGAAATGAGGAAGTTCTTGCAAGATCTGGAAGTGGAAATATACAACATAAAAAAAGAATCAGATGGAACTACTAAAGATGAATACAGGAAGTCAAAACCTCCTTTGAATGTATTAAAAGCAGACTAGATCATAAAGAAAATCAAATCTCAGATGTAGAAGATAGAATCACTAGCCTAGAAAAATCCACCACGAAGACTGAGAGATTGACCCCCCAAAATAGGAATAATACATGAAAAATACTAGATACCATCAAATGTCCAAACATCTGGATAATTGGTATCCCAGAAGGCAAATAGACTCATAAGGGTATTGATAATCTACTCCATGAAATCCTGTAAGAAAACTTTCCAAACCTAGAGAGGCGTTCAAAGATCCAGTCCCAATAAATACAAAGGACCCTGAATAGAATCAACCCAAGAAGATCTTCTCCAAGACGTATTATAGCCAGATTGACCAAAACCACAGATAAAAACAAGATACTAAGATTGGTAAGAAAAATGTCAAATAACATACAAAGGCTATCCCATCAGGCTCACAGTGAACCTCTCGTTGGAAACAATGCAAGCAAGGAAAGAATGGGAAAATATATTTGAAGTGTTAAGGGAAAAGCAATTTCAACCAAGAATACTGTACCCGGTAAGATTATCCTTCATATAGAAAGAAAAGATGAGAACATTCTCAGATAAACAAAACCTAAAAGAATTTACCAACACCAGACCAGATCTCCAAGAAGGTCTCAAGAGAGTGCTATACCAGGAAAATTGAATACAGACACACAAAAATAAGAGTTCAAAAACTAAGAAAATAAGGGACCAGCAGTTAGCGTAATGGCTGTTGCTGGACTCCCATGTAGTAGACTGCCGTTCGAGTCCCGGACCTGATGGCTGGAAACACATCAGGCATGTGTGCCCAGGATCCCGAGAGGAGAATGGAGGAGAAGGGATTGCAGCATGGCCATCCCCCTTGAGGGGTGATTTCTTGCTTTTTGTCTCTCTGTCTCTCTCTGTCTGTCTGGCAAGCGCACGCGCCCTGTGGCAAAAACCTCTCCAAAAAAAAATAAAATAGCCAACTTAATTGTAGGGACAAGTCTGGAGTTGAATATTATATCCCAGAATTAATTGGGAAGATCGGATCACAACAGTAGATTAAGTATATGAGACTGAACTGGTAAAATAGAAGGTTATGACTTTTGACTAAAACATTGCTGATTTTCTTCGAGGCTTTGTTTTTCCATTTTAAGGATTTTTGTCCTGTCTTGAGCTGCCAATAGGTTCATGTACCTACTATTTGAACAGACTCCTAACCTGTTTCCTGGATTTAAGTTTTAAGCAAAACTCTCTTAGCATTTCTTTGATTTTGATTTATTAAAGTTAAAACTACTCTTCTTGAAAAAAAAAATATGTGTACACAAGTCAGAACTTAAACAAAATTAGAATCACAGAGCAAATGCTGAAGTCTATTAAAAACTGAAGGATTGGGGCTGGCAGGTGGCGTGGTGGTTAAGGGCGCTGGACTCCCACATGGCTGACCACGGTTCTAGCCCTGGATCTGGCAGCTTGCTTTCTCACTTTCTCTCTCTCTCTCTCTCTTTCTCTCTCTCTCTCTCCCTCCCTCCCTCCCTCTTTGGTCAAATTTTAAAAAATAAATAAATAAAGTGAAATAAAAATAATTAAAAAAAAAAAACTGAAGGATTTTCAGGCAGAAAGTGAGAAATCACCTCCCAGGAGGGATGGCCATGCTATAATCCCTTCTCCACCATTCTCCTCTCAGGATTGTGGGCATGCATGCACACACACATGCTCAGCATGAGTTTTAAGCCACTGGGTCAGGGATTCAAAGCATGGTCAACTAAATAGGAGTCCAGCGACATAACCATTACACCATCTGCTAATCCTTCAATTAAAATTGTCAATAGATTTGCATTTTACAAAGCACTGGGAAAACTTGCCATTTAAAACATCCTAATAGGGGCTGGCAGGTGGTGTTGCGATTCAGGACTTCCACATGCCGATTGCAGTTCAATTCTCAGACCTGGCAACTTGCTTTCTCACTTTCCATTTCTCTCCCTTCTCTGTTTCTCTCTGGTCAAATTTTTAAAATAGTAGTAACAAAGTTAAATAAATAATCTGTGTGAATAAATCTTAAAACAAAAAAAATTTTAATAGTAGGGCCATGAGGTGGCATGGTGGTTAAGATGCTGGACTCCCATGTGGCTGATCACGGTTCAAGTCCCAGACCTGGCAGTTTGCCTTCTCACTCCCCCTATCAATTCCCATCTCTCTCTGGTGAGCACACATGCCCTGTACCAAATTTTAAAATTATAATAATAGTAAGTAAAATTAAATAAATAATTTTTTTAAAAAAGAAAAATTCCTAATAGTTGGGCCAACAAATGGCATGATAGTTAAGGTTCTGGATCACATCTGGGGAATAGGTGGTTCAAGTCCTAGACCCAGTGGCTTGAAAAACATGATGGTAGCGTGTGAGAGTGTGTGAGTGTTCTACTCCCAGGGGAGTAGAGGAGAAGGAAGTGCAACATGGCCAGCAACCTTTGGTGGGTGATTTCTCACTTTCCCTCTGTCTCTCTCCAACAAGCGTAAAAAAAATATTTAAAAAACCTTAATAGTAATACATTTTGTAAACATTTGTGAAATTAAATGCTTTAATGCAGCTTTTTGGTTGTTTCCTTTCAAGGTTTCTTGTTTGTTTATTTGGAGAGGTTTTTGCTATAGGACGTGTGCGCTCGCCAGAAAGACAGAGAGAGACAGAGAGATAGAAAGCGAGAAATCACCCTCCAGGGGGGATGGCTACACCGCAATCTCGGGATCTTGGGCACGCAAGTACATGCACCCAGCGTAAGTTTAAGCCACCGGGTCTAGGACTCGAATCGCAGTCAGCTACATGGGAGTTCAGTGACATAGCCATTACGCTAACTGTTGATCCCCTTTTAGAGTTTTTTTTAGAATTATTTATTTAATTTTATTTGTCATTATTGTCATTTTTAAATTTGCTACAGGGCATGTGCACTCACCAAAGGGGGGTTAGGGAAAGTGAGAAAGCAAGCTGTCAGATCTGATACCGGAACTTTGGTTGGCCATATGGGAATCCAGCACCTTAACCACCATGCCACCTGCTGGCCCAATTTTTTTGTGTACTCACTCACTTACTTTCTGTCTCTGTCTCTTCATTGAGCACATGTACCCTATAGCAAAAATCTCTTTTAAAAAAATTTAGTAATAATCCAGATTTACTTCGGAAAAGTATTTTTTAAGACCAGAGAGAGAGAAAGTGAGAAAGCAGGACTGCCTCTTTGGATGCTACTATACTGGATAGAAAAGGCTTGCAGGGTGATTCTGGGACTTGAACTGTAGTCAGCAATGTGAGAGTCAAGCATCTTAACTACCATGCCACCTGCTGGCCTGACTTAGGGAAAGGTTTTAAAACACTTTATAAAAAGTTTTAAATCAATAACTCATTAGGAAAAGAAAGGCCTATTAGATAATATCTATGAACCGAACCACCGCAGAAGATAAAAGAAATGAAAGCACAACGATCCTCGCATCATTTTGGTCTCTTTAAAATAAATAGTATGTATGCCCTTTGACAGGTAGATTATTATTTTTTAACTTTATTATCATTTTTTTTTTATTTGATCAGAGAAAGAAAGAGAGAGAGGGAAAGTGAGAAAGCAAGCTGCCAGGTCTGGGGCTCCAACCATAGTGAGTCATGTCCTTAACCACCATGCCACTGCTAGCTCTGGCTTTTAGATTATTCTTAAGTCAAAAGAATGAAGAAGTCACTGAAAGCTTCTAAACCATATTAACTATGACATATAATGTGAAAAATTAATTATTAATATTAGCCAAAATTGGGGCCAGCAGGTGGCATGGAAGTTAAGCCAGATGGATCCCACATGGCTGACTATGGTTCAAGTTTCAGACCTGGTGGCTCAAAAATCATGCCAGAAGCATGTGTGGCTAAAATCTGAGAGGAAAATGAAGAAGAGATTGCCGTGTGGCCATTCCCTCTGGTGAATGACTTCTCATCTTCTCTCTCTCTCTCTCTCTCTCTCTCTCTCTCTCCAGAGAGCACATGTACCCTAGAGCAAAAAAGCTAAAAAAAATTTAAGTTTAAAAATATATTAGCCAAAATCACTTAGTATAAGCATTCTCTAAACATTCTTTCTTTGAAGTAAATGGGAACAAAAACTTAACTAAAATTTTTATTTTACATCTGAGAAATTTTTGCCTTAGGTTATACAGAGTATTCAGAAAAGCTATAGTAACCTAGGTACTCTTGGCCATTCCTGTATCTATACCATTTCATAGATCTTTTTTCAAAAGAATTGATAAACTGCAAGATATTACTTACATTTACATGATCTATACTAAAAATTTCAGAAATTTTTGAATTTCTGAAATTCAAATTTAAGTGGGGGCCAGTTTTTTATTTACTAAACCTGACAACCCTATCTTTCAGTATAAATCTGTTTTAGAAAACACCAAACGCTTTGCAAGAAAGAGACCAGTTTTTATGAAAGTTGAGTAATTCTTTACCTTTTAGCAATTTCTCGAAGACCAAGCTAGCATAAATGTTTCCTGCAGAAGCAACTGTAAGAAACAGAATACAAAGAAATATCACAAATAAGACAATTTTATTTTAAAAATTAATTAGAAGTGGGACCAGCAGTTAGCATAATGGCTATGTCACTGGACTCCCACATAGTCGACCACGGTTTGCGTCCCGGACCCGGTGGCTTATAACTCACGCCGAGCACATGTGCGTGCGTGCCCAAGATCCCGAGAGGAGAATGGAGGAGAAGGGATTGCAGCGTGGCCATCCCCCCAGGGGGTGATTTCTCACTTTCTATCTCTCTGTCTCTCTCTGTCTGGCGAGTGCACACGCCCTATAGCAAAAACCTCTGAAAAAAAAACAACAACAACAACAAAATTAAGTAGAAGTCTGAAAACAATGGTTACAGACACAGAAAAATAATAAATAAAATAAAAAGTAACCACTGCTATTAAATCCAGTAAAAGCTTCAAAGTACGATGAGACTACAATTACTGTTTGGGGATGAAAAAACTCCTTGCAGGTGACAACTCAACAGGAAGTCCTTCTATCTATATTCAACAGCTTTCTATAATCGACACCAGGATTGCCTCTTTGGATGCTACTATACCTGACAGAAAAGGATTACAGGGTGATTGCAAATTGCAGCTAGTAATCAGAGTATATCATGCCAATAACTCATATTCTGATATAATAGTAAATTATAAATAGAAACTATTAAGCTATCAGATAAGAATTCCCTGTACCAAGAGTTCTTCTCTGTCTCTCTCTGTCTGGCGAGTGCACACGCCCTATAGCAAAAACCTCTGAAAAAAAAACAACAACAACAACAAAATTAAGTAGAAGTCTGAAAACAATGGTTACAGACACAGAAAAATAATAAATAAAATAAAAAGTAACCACTGCTATTAAATCCAGTAAAAGCTTCAAAGTACGATGAGACTACAATTACTGTTTGGGGATGAAAAAACTCCTTGCAGGTGACAACTCAACAGGAAGTCCTTCTATCTATATTCAACAGCTTTCTATAATCGACACCAGGATTGCCTCTTTGGATGCTACTATACCTGACAGAAAAGGATTACAGGGTGATTGCAAATTGCAGCTAGTAATCAGAGTATATCATGCCAATAACTCATATTCTGATATAATAGTAAATTATAAATAGAAACTATTAAGCTATCAGATAAGAATTCCCTGTACCAAGAGTTCTAAATCTAAACATTAGAACATTTAGAGCAATGACTCTTTATTTTTAGAATTTTTTAATTTAACTTTATTTATTTATTTATTTATTTTAATTTGGCCAGATAGGGAAAGAAAGAAAGGAAAAGAGATTAAGAAGGAGATGAGGAAAGAGAAAGGAAACATGAGAAAGCAAGCAGCCAGGTTTGGGAGTCAAACCGTGATTGGCCATGTAGGAGTCCAGTGCCCTTAACCACCATACCACCTGCCAGCCCCAGGGAACAATAATTCTTTGGGGCAGGGGGTGAGGCAGGAAGCCAGGAAGTAAAAAAGGGAAAAAAAAAAAAAGGTCAAAAACACATGTGCTTTTGTTTTCCAAACTGAACATGCCTGCCTGTGCGTTGGTGGTATAGTGGTGAGCATAGCTGCATTCTAAGTTGAACATGCCCATCCACAGAGAAATGTGAACTCACAGTTAAAATTCTAAGAATCACCTTCATAGGAACCAATGGAAATATGCCTATCCCTCGGGAAAATGTATATTCTTCATGCAGGGGGAAGAAGTTGAGAATCACTGAACTAGATAAAGCAAGAGACAACACTATTCTCTAAATGTATGCTGTCTAACACAGTAGCTAATAGCTACATGTGGCTAAATTTTAAAAAATTAAATAAAAAATTCAGTTCTTTGGTCGTACTTGTCATATTTCAAGTGGTCAGTAGTCACATGGGACTAATTATTAAATACCACAGTCAAAACAATTCTACCATCTCAAAAAGCTCTACTAGTTTTTAATTTATTTTATTATAATAGCAGCAGTTTAGCTTTTCAGTATTACAGGAATTTAAAAAGTCGTCTCTTGTGGGAGATTTCCCAACCTTGGGAGTGTCTTCACTTAATTTTTAAAAAATATTTTCATGCAGGACCAGCAGTTAGTGTAATGGCTATGTCGCTGGACTCCCATGTAGTTGACCCGGTGGCTTTAAACTCATGCCACGCACGTGTGCATGCGTGCCCAAGATCCCAATAGAATGGAGGAGAAGGGATTGCGGAGTGGTCATCCCCCCTGGGGGGGTAATCTCTCACTTTCTGTCTCTCTGTCTCTCTCTGTCTGTCTGGTGAGTGCACGCACCCTATAGCAAAAACCTCTCTTGGGACCAGCAGTTAGTGTAATGGCTATGTCGCTGGACTCCCACATAGTCGACCGCGGTTCGCGTCCTGGACCCAGTGGCTTAAAACTCACGCCGGGCGCGTGTGCGTGCTTGCCCAAGATCCCGAGAGGAGTACAGAGGAGAAGGGATTGCAGCGTGGCCATCCCCCTGGGGGGTGATTTCTCGCTTTCTGTCTCTATCTGTCTGGCGAGCGCATGCACCCTATAGCAAAAACCTCTCAAAAAAAAAATATATATATATTCCTGCTTTATCATCCAGCTAGAGTTTTATGATGTCTACCAAAATCTTGACAAGGATCAAGTGTTAATCATGAAAGTTCACTACATTACTGTATTACTCTTACATGGAAAACAATTGGTCAATTTTCGTGTTGGTAATACTTATTTTTGCATTTTGACCTTTCAACAGCTGAAATCATTAACTGATTTACAATTCAATAAAAGAATTCTTGGAGTAAAGAAAAAAGTTCTATTGGATAGTAACACTCTATAAATCTCCAGATTTTAAATAATTGTGGACAAGAGATACACATTTCAAAAGAACTGAGCACAAGTAGCATGGAACACTTAACAAAAGAGCCTTTTTTATTAATGCTCAATGTTTCTCCCAGGTATGTACTGGTTCTAATATAAAGAAGTGGGTCATTGGGACAGGGATGGCAGATGGTGGCAGGCCTACACTCGTGATGAGGAGCTAGAATTTTTTTTTTTCGGTGAAGTTTTTGCTATAGGGCATGTGCACTTGCCAGGAAAACAGAGAGACAGAAAGTGATAAATCACCCCCCAGGGGGGATGGCCACACCACAATCCCTTCTCCTCCATTCTCCTCTCAGGACCTTGGGCATGCACACACACCCAGCATGAGTTTAAGCCACCGTGTCTGGGACTCAAACCGCAGTCGACTACATGGGAGTCCAGCAACATAGTCATTATGTCAACTGCTGGTCCTGAGGAGCTAGAATATTAACAAGGAAAAAAATGAATCTGTTTTGTAGTGCATTCTTAATATTACTCAAGTGCATATCACACTACTTCCTCTAATATCCTTTCTTAGTTTTTATTCAATATATCAACAATTGTTAAATATAGCTCACTTTTGGTGAGTGTGCTCAAGGAGAATAATCATTCTACTCATTCCAGACACTATCCAGTCCCTTTTCAGCTATACTTTCTAGTATTTCTATATTAAAGAAATAAAGTGCTACCCTTCGGATGCAAACATGCAATAGATATTTACTCATAAAAATAAATATTTTCTGTAAATTTTCATTTATTTCTTTTATGAGTGACTGAGAGAGATGACAGGGAGTACCTCTAACAGGATTTGACACCATGATCCACCCCCAGTCTCTGCCAGCCTTGGATCATGGACATGTACATGTCCATGTACTCAGGGAAGTCTTTGGATGTGAACCTGGAACTTTCCTATGCAGACCAGCCTCACAGATCATGGCATTTTACCACTGTGCTACCATCCTGCCCCAAAATATGAATTTTTAAATTTTTATTTATTATTATTATTTCTAATTTGCTATAGGGCACACACACTCACCAGAGAGAGAGAGAAAGATCAGGAAAGTGAGAAGGCAAGCCACCAGGCCTGAGACTTAAACCACAGTCGGCCATGTGGGAGTCCAGCACCTCAATCACACCACCTGCTGGCCCCAAAATATGTATTTTTAAAACAAGCATTTCCCCAAATTCCCTCAACAACATAGAAGATGATATTTTAAAATAAATAAATAAATAAAAGGAAGGGTTATAGAACATGGCATTTCTGAAACATATTTCAGTTCACACTGATATATCATGAGATGATCCACATTTAGAAAAAATTTACCAGCATTTCTCAAAAATAGATTAATACACAATTCCTACATAATTCCTATCTCATAACTCATGTAAACATTCTGTAGTACACATTTTGGGAAACACTGCAATGAAAAATTATATTAGTTAAAGACCCAACAGTTACTGATGAAAAAACTATGAAGTCACTTCTTAGCCATTCATAGATGGATCATTCCTGATATAAAATATGCTGATGTTTTGTGGGTTGAATTGTGTCCCCCTTAAAAATATTTTGAAGTACTAATCCACAGTACTTGTGAATATGACCTTATTTGAAAATAGACGTACCTCAAGTTAAGATAAGGTTATACTGGGTTAAGGTGATCGTGAATCCAGTGACTACTCTCATTATCAGAAAGCCAGATGTGATCGCAATTCTAGACCCAGACCCGGTGACTTGAAAAAATCACACTGAGTGGGAACCAGCAGTTAGCGTAATGGCTATGTCGCTGGACTCCCACGTAGTCGACCGCAGTTCACGTCCCGGACCCGGTGGCTTAAAACTCACGCCAGGGGCATGTGCATGCGTGCCCAAGATCCCGAGAGAAGAATGGAGGAGAAGGGATTGCGGCGTGACCATCCCCCCTGGGGGGGGTGATTTCTCGCTTTCTGTCTCTATGTCTCTCTCTGTCTGTCTGGCAACCGCATGCACCCTATAGCTAAAATCTCTCAAAAAAAGAAAATCACACTGAGTGTGTGTGCATGCACCAAATATCCCAGGAAGAGAATGGAGAAGAAGAGATTGCAGCATGGCCATCTGCTCTAGGGTGGCAGTGGGGGATTTCTCACTTTCTCTTTCACTCTTTGTCTCTCTGGTGAGCGCACTTGCC